TATTTACTAGATCTTATGAAAATTTTGTGATTCTTTTATACTAGGCAAATGGTTGGAGTCGGCATTATCTTAATACTAAGCAAGCCCTGTGTGTAACCTTACCTGAGTCACTAATAGCGTCACCAAGAAATCTAAGGGATATTTTTGATATTGAAGAAGTCGAGTAGGCAGCGTTAGGTAAATTAACTTGAACTTTTTTGCGGTACGTGTGCACTGCCATTAATTTGTACGAATTTTAATAATTATTGCGAAATATGCAGCGTAGAGGCTTGTTAGGATTGACTACTAAGATTCCCAGGCTGAGCAAAGGAAGCAATCGAAAGTCTAGAGCTAGGCGTAGCCAATCCTCGTTCAGCAGCGTTTCCGATGTTTTTGCTGATAACGAATCGACTAAAAGTCAAGCTGATCTTTCAGTGAGCGGAATGAAACTAAGAAGCGAAAAGAACCTCGATGACAATCAAGGGCGAAGTGTCGAGGCCGGACCGGCGGGCGAAGCGCTTATGGGCCCCTTCGACGAAGGGGAGCAAACGCTTAACCGACCCGATTTTGAGGCAGGCGAGGACCTCGAACGGGAGGAAGTTGAAAGGACGGAGGAGTCCTCGGAGCGTTCCGAGGTCGAGCCGCGAGAAGAAGTGTTGTTCAGGGGAATGTCCAAATCAGAGACTAAAAGTCATAAGTGGAGAAAAGAACAATCATCTCTGGTCAGGCTGAGCAAGAATGCGATGATGTCGAGTATAAGTCGGAGTGAAGAACAAACGGGTTCGAAGGCCAAGAAAAGCTGGAAGTCTTTGTACGATGAGCGCATGGCGTCACTACAAACTGAAGGTCTATCTTCCACTTAGGACCATTCGGAGATAACCCATCCGGGTGTTGACTTCACGCCGTGCCAAAGGACCACACAACGCCGACCAGGCCCATGACTAATGGGATAACCGTGGGAACCCTCGACGTTCGACAGTTTGATGATGTCGATGGGCAAGCAAAAGGGCGGTGCGTCATCGAGTACCAGGCTGCAACCACAGTTGACCTGATCTTCTCTGGGTCTAACCCGGGCATTGGGAGCGGCTGGTGATATAAGTGACCTGTTTGCTGGCGTGGTGACAGGCCTGGAAGAACTGCGACGGGACATGACTGAGAGAATAGATCAAGTCGAGAGCTCATCAGGGTCAAGAGGAATTGTGAGATGAGCTGACACACGTGAATTCGCAGGCGAGAGTCGATCAGGCTCAATTGATTCACAACACCGATCAATGCCTGGCGGAGAACTTGGCTCAGGCAAACAAGGAGTCAGAGGAAAAAGAGGTTAGGATGACAAGAGAGATCGAGCGATTACTGAACGATCACGACATTACCTTGCTCATACGATGACTAGCCTGGAAAAAAAGTTGGACGCCAAATCTGACCTGATGATGCGGAAGCTTGACGAGATCTTAGATGGGAGCAATCGGGAGGAGCGTTCCGCCCCAAGTGAGCGATCACGCGTGGCAAATGATGGAAACGGAGCACGCAGCTATGCCGGGGCCCAGCAAAGTTCGAGAACGAGTTATCAATCTAAGCAAAGGGAACGGCCCAAGGCAGCCCCATCGAGGCCAGGTTGGACAAACCCGGTCCCGCCCGAGGCGGATGCCACCCCGGAGACACGATTGTCCAGTGTGCCACAAGTCAGATCAGTGACAGATCTGACTACGGTCTCGCAGGACACAACGATGTATGCTTCGATGTTTGAGCCTCTGTATAGATCTCTCGAAAAATTCATCACCAAAGTCTCAAAGTCAACCGAGAGAGGAGAGAGGTCAAGAAGGACACTCAAAAAGCCGAAGTCATACAAAGACGAGTCAGATGGTTGCATCGATACTTGGTTGGAGGTGATGAAGTTGTACTTTGAAGAAGAGAATATCTCAAAGAAACAGGAATGCAGCGCACTGACAAGCCACTTGGACGGTACCGCCCTAAATTGTGAAATGGCCCATAGGGCCAATGAACGAGATAGCGCTCGCAAGATATTCGACATCCTGCTAAATCTTTTCAACTCTGGAGTACAAGGGCATCAGGCTATGGTTAAGTTCGAAAAGAGGCGTCAAAGAGATGACGAATCCATAGACAAGTTTTTGGACGACCTTTAATTACTCAGAAGAAGAAGCAATCCCGATTAGAGAATATCGGAGCGGAACTTAGCGGTTGCCTAGAAGTTCATGGATGGAGTAAAGAGTGATAAGCTGAAAAGCATGCTAGCTGCACACTTACCCACGCAGGTACCCACGCCCGATGATTTCCGCATGAAGTCGCGTGAGTAATTGCTCATAAAACCAAGGGCGCAAAACCGTTACAGTAATTATGGCAACTACAGCGGAACAAACACTGGCGAGAACTCCAGTTGGTACAGACCTGTTGACGACATGGATATGAGGAGGTCATTTGCGAATTGTGGCTCGATGGACCACCATGTTTTTGCCTGTTCTGCTTACAAACAGAACATGAAGGCGATAGGCTACTTTCTCGATGACGTTGATGCGACCGATGAGGACCACGAAGAGTACGTTAGAGGACTCATAATGAAGTATGGACCAAGGTGCTTCTTCTTTAATTTGGAGGGACACTTCATGTCGGATTGCACTCAATTTTGGGATACGCTGTTGGACGCGTAACATCCCCGTCATGAAGAGAGGCGCTTTTGGGCGTCAAAGCCAGTCGAGCATGTCTGATGAACGAGGCTGAATCTCGGAGAAAACAGACGACACCAAGCACCTTTACGACTAAGAAGGTAAAGACCTTGCCCGAGGAGGTGGTAGCCTCGAGCCTGGAGGCAGAGTCGGCCGGCCCGCTCGAGGTGGATTATGGCTTGGCGGCGAGGACAGCGTTACAGAATGTCCAACAGGAGCTAGCAACGAAGGAAGTTGAGCAGTAGGTAAGGTCGGAACTGAAAAGCACAGATCTTTGATAAAAATTTGACATTTTGAGGAAAACAACGAAAGAAGAGGTCAAACAGGAACCCAAAAACAGGGACTAAAGCTAAATGTTATATCGGGTAAAACTTTTGGCATGACGAAAGAAGGAACGAAGATAATGTCCATTATTTCAGTTGCAGGACACCAGGTGGTCCATAACTTGAGTGAACCGTCCGAGATTACGCTGGTACACTTGGACATTTATGCGGACTACCTGAGGGAGAAGGATCCCAAGTTGGACTCCAGGGCAGTGCGGGCGCTGCTCACGACAGCAGGTCCAACGCTGATGAGAGTGGATGGACATTACATGGAAATCCATGGCCCATATCCGATTCTGATGAATGTGGATGGCATTAATATCTTTACCAAGGCTCGCGTGACTGATGAGAGTGATCAGACAGGCCGGATATACATTTGACAAGAGCAGCTGAAGGTGCGACGAATCGGCGCAACGCCATGCTTGAACAGGATAAGATTGCGAAGCTGATCTGGCCGGAAATGTGCTAGATGTGCATGGCAGACACTTTTCAGTAAAAGGACTGTTAGACACGGGAGCAGAGGTCAGCGTCATGCCAGTCAGCACGTGAACTGACATGGGCTTTGACAGGTTGACCTGATACCGACAAACATCAGACTGGCAGCTGCCAATCAGGGAGTGATCTATGTGACAGGGCGGACCCCGATTATATCACTGCAGCATGGAGGAAGACATCTTTGGATGAGCTTCCTGGTAGTGGAAAATTTGAACAAATCCAATCAATTCATCCTGGGGTGGGACTTCGTACGCAATTTTGATGTCACGATTGACCTCTATGACGGGTTGATTAGGATCAAAGATCCTGAGAGGAAGTATGAAAGCAAACCTCTTAATAAGATCTCAATTAACCAGTTAGATCAAAAAGTTAGATTGAAGCCAAACCAAGCCGTAGTAGCGACGTTTAGTATGAGGAACTTGAATGAACTCAGTAATGACAGACAGGTGTGTCTGGTACCAAATCGAAAGAGTAAAACCTCGGCTGTTTTAGGAAGAAGCTTCTCACTCACTCAGAGCGGACTGTTTGTGAGTGTGTTGTTGAACACAGAAGCAACCACAGTGACAATACATAGGGGAAAGAAACTTGGCTACGCATTGCCTCTGAACACAGACGTTCAGAGTGTGGAGAACTTGAAAAAGTTTGATGTAACTGAGTGTCCCTGGCACGCGAACCAGAAATGTATACTGAAGAGAATAGATGAATTGAAGTCTTCTAAGAAAATGTTTTTAATGAAGTCGGAGACAAATGATGGGTTGTCTAGTTGTACGAATTTTCCCGAGAGACCAACAAAAACAGAGTTAGCAGCTAATAAACCGGTCGTACCCGAGATAGAACATCTGAAGGGTAAAATATTGGACAAAGAACTAGATTGGCTTAGGGCGGTGCTAAATCGGAAGGCAGACGTTTTTTCGAAACATAAGGCCGACATAGGTTGCTGTAATTTTGTAAACACGAGATTGAGATACAAGAGGGCTCGGTACCTCATAGGGAAGGGGCGAGAAGGATGACCCCACATAAGTCAGAATCGTGCAGGAAAGAAATCGAGATGTTATTGAAGTACGACATGATCGAACCGTCGAAGTCCCCGTGGGCTTGTGGGCGTGGTCATGGCAAAGAAGAAAGGCGGCAACTCAGTTTTTGTTGTGATTTCCGTTACTTGAATGCAGTGACGATAAAGGACGCATACCCGATTCCCCGCATCTACGAGAGCCTCTCCAAGCTGGGGGACGCGAAGTTCTTCACGACGTTGGATTTGGGCTCTGCGTTCTGGCAAGTGCCAATCAGGAAGCAAGATCGGGAGAAAATGGGCTTCGCGTGGGAGCTGGGATTGTTCTAGTGGAAGAGGATGCCGTTCGGATTGTGTAACGCAACGGCCACATTCCAGCGACTTATGGCCCAGTTACTCACGAGTGTAACAAAGAAATACGGGAAACTCATCATGTGTTATGTCGATTATGTCGTGATCGCAACACCATTCCTAGAGGATCATATAGAGAGGTTGGATTAGGTGTTTACTTGCATGAAGAAGGCGGGCCTGATGTGTAAACCCACAAATTGCGAAATCCTCAGAGACTCCATAAAATATCTGGGCCGCCTTGTGGATAAGCATGGAGTGAGACCGGATCCCGAAGCGGTCGAGGCGTTCTTGACTTGGAAGGCACCTAAGACAGACATACAACTGATGAGCTTTTTGGGGTTTGCTAACTATTATCGAGAGTTCATACAGGGATACGCCGATAAGATATACCCCATGCAGCAGTTGATGAGAAATAAGGGCAAAACATTCACTTGGACTGAGGAGGCACAAGTTTCATTTGAAAACAATAAACGTGAACTTTGCGAGGCACCGGTCCTCGGAATGCCAACAGAGAAGTGGATGTTTGTGTTAGACACGGATGCATCAGTGGTCGCGATATTGGGCATACTTCATCAGGAGCAAGAGTGAAACGGGAGAAAGGTAGCTTATGGAAGTAAGGTCCTGAGCGACACTGAGATGAAGTATGGCGCACCAAAGGCGGAAATGTTCGCGGTGATCACTTTCGTGGAAAAATACAGGGCCTACTTGGGGAGTGCTACCTTCAAGTTGCGTGTGGATAATTGTGCCTTTGCCTGGCTGAAAACCTATTCGATGGACCAGAGTTATATTGGTCGTTGGATCGTGCGCCTGGATGTATACCACATGATTATAGAGCACCGTACCCGTGACAAGCAACAGAACTGATAGCCTATGAAACAGACAGAATTCTATGTGCGCCTAGAAGAGAAGCAGGCTAACCAAGCGGATATCAAAGACGGATTTTCATTCTTAGACAAGGAGACCTACGATAAACTACCACTCACTAGTTGGCTGGATAAGTCAGGGCACCCTATACCAGGACACCCTGAACTTCCGGTGGAGACGGCCGCTGATATTATGGTTTTGGCCAGGCGAGAGCTTACCAGGTTGGGTATAAGCAGCATAGCCCTGTTAGATAGGACGGTGAGCGTGGCGCCGGACGTCATGGGAAAGCTCAGTGGCTTGCTAGATAGGGAAGTAGATAGCCATGATCGTGAGTGGATGGAAACTATGCAGCGGTTGACCTTCACTGAGAGAACAGAGAAGATGCCAGTGACCATTCGCACTCGAGGTGTTGAACGGGATTGACGGTCGATAGTGAACCAGCTGGTGAACTCAATGCCGAAGGACGTCTTGTTGAGGACTTCGTTCACAGAACATTGGACATCGACCCAGGTCCAAGCCACTGAAAAAGTCAGTGTCAAGTCGATCACGAGAAAAGTACATTTCACGGATGCAAGGAAAGAGTATGAGCCGAGCTCGGATTGTTCATCCGGGGACGAGACAATGTCCGGGGAGTCAGGCACATTCGAGCCCGTACACGACAACTTGTCCGGGGAGACGATGTTAGGACGACCATGGGACAGAATTTTGTCCGGGGAGTCGCATTCAAAGCGACCAAGGGACAGAGTTTTGTCCTGGGAGTCGTGAAACATCACAGACAGATTGGGATATGATGATTTGGAATCATTCGGCTCGAGTGGTGATTCGAGGCCCCAGTCCTGGGAGAACACATCTGAGACTACTTCCAATTCGGATGTTTCGGAGATTGCGATCCACTCCTTGTTGGTAGAATGGAAACAGCGCGGACTGGACCGGGAAATGCATGAAGGTCCGGACAGAGACAGGTACACCTCCGATGAGGAGGGCACTGTAGTGGATAATGCCGCTGATGAGCTCGAGCTGATAGCAGTTTCGAAACGCCCAAACAAATTACTACCCCATGGTACGGTCATCCGTACCAATCTGGAACCATCTGTGCAGGAAGCAATACCTTTGAAGAAGATATGGTGTGTCAAATTGAATGACGATGCTCATGATCCGGAGATAATGAGCAGGCAATTAAACGTGGTAAAGACGTATCTGAAAGCCAGATACCGGCTGTCGGATCTGCCAAGGGCTGAACGAATTGATAGAATGACGAGCAACCTGAAGAGATGGATCGAGAATTCAGCACCTGACAAAGGAGATTTAGAAGAAGACTATAAGATCTTGAAGCAGCTCTACCTGAAGAGAAAAGATTTACTGTACCTGAACAAAGACGGAATCGTAGCCTGTAAACGCAAGGAGGAGGACAAGGTCCTTTACAAGTACAATTCAATCGTGTTTAGGATTACCACAGTTATACCAGACCGAATTGCTCTTTCGTTCACATGATCAGATGGGCAATCAGGGCGTGGAAAAGTGTACAACAGGATGCAGAAACGATTCGATTGGCCTGGTTTGAAGAAGTCTTGTGAAAACTGTATCCCTGCATGCTTGTCGTGTCAACAGGCGAAGGACCCCAGGAAACTAAGGTTCCCCCTACAGTCAATAGAGTCATCAGGATTCCACGAAGTAGTGCAAATTGATCATCAGAAGAGAATATTTGCTTGACAGCCACAGGCTACAATCAGGTGCTGGTGATAATCGAGCTTTTCACGAAATAAGCAGAGGCAGCCCCTGCATGACAGCATTGGCAGAAGAAACATGCGATCACTTGATAAATGTTGATAAATGTGTAGATGGCGAGGCACTGCTGCCCCATCATATTCCAATCGGACAATGGCAAAGCGTTCGCGGGTTATCTCACGAAGGAGTTAATGAAGAGGTCGCAGGTGGCACAGGCCCATTCAACCACTTATCACCCACAAACGAATGGCGTAGTTGAACGGCAAAATCGCACGCTGGTATCCATGTTGAGAGTTTATTGCTCACGCTACATGTATGAATGTGATAGACAGTTGCCGCAAGTGATGGGCGCTTACAACAGCACCGAGCATTCCACCACGGGGATAATTCCGCATATGATGCTAACTGGTCATGAAAAAGCCCTACCGTTGACGTTCTTCTACCCTTAGTAAGAAGGGAAGAGAACAGCACCGCAAACGTACGTGCGTGATGTTATTAGAAGACAGCAGAACCTCAATGACTTATGCAGGAGGAACACGCAACAGGCACAAATTAGACAAAAAAGGAGTTGGCGATTACGTCTGGGTGTTCCAGGAAGTAGTTCCACCAAAAGGAACTAAAAAATTATTAAAAAAATGGCGTGGCCGATTTCAGATAACAAAAGTGCACCAAGGAGGTCGTTTTTATCGATTGAGCACCAGAAGAGCAGCTCATTACGAAAACATCAAACCGCACTATGCCTCATCAGAGGACTGGTGCATCCCAGCGGACATGCAAGTGGGAGACTATTTGATAGTGGATCCTGCTTGTGAAGTGAATGAAAGGGGTACAAGTGACAAAAATGACGGAATGAGGTGGTGGATAATTGCGATCTGCCACTGGACCTGGAAATGACCGAGCGAGTGGAGGTGGATGACGAAACTCTACATTATGACGAAGAGGAGGGGGACTGCCCAGAAAAACTGAAATTGACAAAGGAGTACAGCCTGACATTCCTTTCACCATGGAGACACGGCAGGGCAAGATAAGAAGAAACAAGAAAAAGTACAATCCGTATGGCGAGGATTTCGTCATAGACAGGACAGTTTTGAGTGATATGATGGACTCGCTGGTAGGACTGGATGAAGTAGCGGTGCCAAAGGAGATCAACTTGGTAAATGACATGGATCAGGATTGATCGACGATCGCTCCGAAACCAGAAGTAGAGTTCGAACCAGAGGCGGAGCAGACTCATGAGCAAGAACTAACGAACTTACGAGTGCTCGAATGGCTCCATGATCTGCCGGCAGATCCTAAGAAGACAATATTGACGATTCAGGACGTCGATAAAGACAGCATCAAATACGTCAGCAGTGACAATACCGAGTCCATATGGGTCGCTCCAGGTGGCCCTCTACGCGTCCCGCAATCCAACCTCGATCTGCTCGACTTTGGGCGATCGACGGGGATGTCGATGGATATTTTTGACCCGGGAGTGGGGGTAGGACTCACCCACACCGAAAAGCTGATCATTAAAAAATTCAAGTTGGCAAGGGAAACCGGAGAACTGGAGAAAAAAGGCGAGAACGCTAAAAAACCACCTTTTGGACAATTGTTTGAATCTTATTTTGACCTACCGAACCATTATTCAAACATTATTGTCATAACGGACAGCGATTTCATACTCACGGAGCGTAATTGTGCTGTAACGATAACCGCGGATGTAATCTTCACAACAGCACTAGCTGCTGACTTTAAAAGAAAATATAAGAATATCGAGTTTTTATGGAAACAGAGGCCTGTTGTGGGAGGGACGATAGCACTGCCCCCGTTGCATCACAGATACCAGGGAAATATTTGGGTTTCCTGGTCATTAAGGCCACTAATAAGCAACACGTAAATCCAGAGAGCTTGGTATTGGCCTTGACTCGACTTAGGGATTTTCTGGTTGAGAGAGGAGTGACCTCTCTCTCTCATTTCCAGTCTATGAACCCAACGTGATATTTTTGAAAACATGCATAGAGGTTTTATTAAATAAGAAGTACTATCTGAGCATATGCTAGGAGTTGCATTCGGTGATAAGTGGCTTTTATTAACTTCACTGTATAGGCATTAGGACCAAGCTTTAGGCTAGCTACTAGGGATTATAATTTATATGATAGTGTCATTATGTGATGCTCATGTATTATGTTATTGTTGGGCTATGTTTTATGTGATGTTCGTATCATAAGAGACCTGGAACACTCCAGGTAGTGAAGGCAACAGCGCTCACATGTGTTACCTTGATAAAGTTGCAGGTAGACGACTCACCTTGGTGCTAATTTTTAAATCAACAACAAAAAGAGAATTTCAATGGATAGCTTTTAAAGACGAAAATGATGTTTCATCCTGGAAATGGGACGGCATGAAATGATGGTTTTAACTCGTGACTTGCTTTTAAGATCATTATTGATCCAATTTTGTTTATTGATTTTAACAAATCAAGAGAGACTCGACGACAAAAAAATACACCATAGAAAGATGGGTGACACGAATGATTTGATGGAATTCCTCTCAGCGAGTCTAGGAGCGACTCTAGACGAGACATATCAGCGGCTGAATGATTTTGACTTTACACAAGAAGACCCTGGACTGGCGATGTTTTTGGTCGCGCTCCTCAACGCGTTAGGACGAGAGGGTCGAGGGAATCGCCCCACGGAAGTAGTGTTGATGCTGGCCTTCGTTGAGTCCGGGACCGCCGAGGAGAAATGTCTGGCCAAGACTTGGCTCGTGAGCAGAGGGATCACCAGTTAGGTGAGATGTTACTACCTATCAACCTGTACAGCCGCTCATAGGAGCGAAGAGACTACGTGATGGGCCGGGCCCATCACATTCAGTAGATTATCCAACAGCTGCTCCTCCACTGAAGAAAGTGAGGATGAACGAGATAGAGATTCGGGCGACGATGAACTCCTCGGAGGAATCCAGGGATACACGTTCTAGGTCGAAGGCACAGGAGCTGTGTGCACCGAGAGAGCCCG